AGTCACTATACACTTCATTGCTCTTATCATGTGATGGAGACTGTACACCTCATATAACACTCTTTTCCCAACAACTTAGAGTCTATGTCATGTCAAGTCATGCTCTTTCTCTTTATTTGTTTACTAACCTTCTCCCAATCTCCCTTCAATCCTAGTATGCCTCATGCTTTTCGAAAAGGAAAAAACCAATACTTCTTATCGATTGTAATGTTTGTCAATAAACTCGCCGTATAAGTGGAAGAATATATTCGATTCAAGTTGGCACCATAATATTGAACCTACAAATTGGTGTGAGCCTAAGTGGCGGAGCCACGTTAAGCCAAGGAAACCCTGTAATCCTCTTTAACTTTTGCAAGTTTAATTACAAGTAAAACTTGAACAAATTCTAAAAATAGACTAGTCGATAAAGGCACTATTCCTACCTCATCAATGACCGTGGTTCGAATTCTCGCAAATAGTCTGTGTGCACCATAACCGAATTAACATCTTTCATTCATATTTGCATTCTTTCAACCTCATGCATAAAAAAATTCATAGGGATTTCCTACGGTAACTTGAAGTAAGGTAACTTGAATTTTTTTACCTGCTATAGCAGGTTTCACAGGTCGTATTACGTAAAACACAATAGGCATTACGTAATGGTTACGTAACATATGATAATCTTACGTAACAGTTGTAAAATATCATTACGGAAGCCTTACGTAATAGAATGTGTCTTTACGTAATGAGTATTAACCTCGTGTTACGTAAAATGCAAAGTCATTACGGAAGTCTTACGTAACGCTACTGAATTAACTGTTACGTAAGAAATAAATGTCGTTTCGTAACCTTTACGTAATAGAAGGTCTCTTTACGTAATGAGTATTAACCCTGCGTTACGTAAAGTGCTAAGTTATTACGGAAGCCTTACGTAACGCTTCTAATTCAATAAGAATTAAAAAAGGAAAGGTTAAAATATGGAAAGACAACTAAATGTGAAAAAAGGAAAGAAAAAAATTAAAAAAGGTAAGTTGGGAATGTAGTGACCGGCAACTCATGTTGCCATTTATTTTTTTAGTTATTTTTTCATTTTTTATTTCTTTAATCAATGGTTTAAAATAAGTGTGGCCAATTTTAACGGTTTAGATCTATGCAAGTTACCTAACTTAAAATTATACCCAAGTTACTGTAGGAGATCCCAAAATTCATATTGTTGGAAACTGTTAAAACGTTAGCATCGAGGGAATAGTTAAGTGAAAGTGGAGGAGCTAAACTTGGTTACAAGTTGATAATGCTTATTACTGGCGGGACTCTCCAAATGACAGAAATTAGCGTAATAAGTTATAAGCAAGTTGCCCCAAAAAACTACTATAACCAGAGCTCTGACCACTTATCAGTTATCACTCAGCCACCTAACACAGCCACCGTACTACGCCACCCAGTCAGGGAAAAGGTAAAATCAACTCGCCACGGGTCCCGCCGCCTGCCTAAACGACGAAACTCGGTCACAATCCCCCAGGTGACCTCTGCAAATTGAGCAATATCATAAATACAGCCATTGAATTTAGCATCACTAGTTTACTCAAACCCGTAAAAACACACACTCTTCAATTTGGTCCTTTGTGTGTGTTCTCTTGAGACACACATAACAAGAGGAGCTTTCCTTGAGCTTCTGGAACTCGAGAGAAGGGAGGGGAAAAATGCAGATCAGAAGCATACCTCAACGATCTCCCCTGCTTTCCCTTCAAAACCCACGTTCAAATGTTGTCTCTCAGCAAAAAATGTGTCGGTTCAATGGCAGGGAATCAATCCTGGGTTCACTAGGATTCAAGGTTCAGGGAAATGGGTCTGGTTTTTCAGGTCAAAGTTTGAGGCTTTGGTCCACGGTGGAAGGTGGGAAGAAGAGATCTTCGTTGTTGCCTTATTGCATTGGCTCAAGCAACAAGCTTTTTGGAGACCATGAGCAGCCGGAAGGAAGTAGTGGTAGCAGTTATGTGCCCAAAGTTGCATCAGCAGCAGATTTTGGTGGGGAGGTGAGGGAAAGGGAAGATGATGGAGAAGAAGGGTTTGAGAGGCAGAGTTTGTGGAAGCAGCTGAAACAGATTGTGGAGTTTTCAGGGCCAGCCATGATCATTTGGTTGTCTGCTCCAGCTATGAGCCTTGTTGACACTGCTGTTGTTGGTCGTGCCAGTTCCATTGAGCTTGCTGCTTTAGGTAAACACCATTTCTTCTTCTTAAAAGATTTGATTCTTTCCTTGGTTTTGAATTGGTTGATTATACAATTTGATGATGGGTTTGATTTGGGGGGCACAGGACCTGCAACTGTGCTGTGTGACTATGTGAGACTTGTGTTTGTGTTCCTTTCGGTTGTCACCTCGAACATAATTGCTGTTTCACTTGCCGGACAGGTTAGATTTTAAGACTCTATCTCCGTCTCTTTTTACCTATTCAGTACCATAATCTTGACTTCTGTGATTGAGGGTTGGTGAACAATGAACGGTATTGTAACAATTCATGAGCTGCAAGAAGATCTAATACGATTCAGTTTTTGTTGTTGGTTGATGAAGTGAATTTGGTGGTGGCAGGACAAAGAAGAAGTTCAGCACCAGATATCTATCCTTCTGTGTGTTGGGTTGACTTGTGGGCTGCTGTTGCTTTCATTCATCAAATTCTATGGTGCATGGGCACTTACTGGTAATTATGCCAACTTGAATTCCTACTTCTTACTTGGATGGGATGGGATGGTTAAAGTTCTTAGTTCTTACTGGTAATTTCTTTGTTATTTTTGTTCTATCAGCTTTTGCAGGACCCAAGAATTCACATATTGTTGCTGTATCGAATGGGTACATTCAGATTCGAGCACTGGCATGGCCTGCTGTGCTTGTAGGGTTGGTAGCTCAAGGTGCAAGGTACTGAAAACCAATGAATACATTCTCTTCCCTGTGCTTTTTCCTCTGTCTCCAGTTTTATAAGCTAAGCTTCTGCAATTTTTCTTCTTCTTGTTTTGGTTAGTCTTGGGATGAAAGATTCCTTGAGACCCATGAAAGCTTTGGCAATTGGTGGTGTCCTAAATGCCATTGGTGATGTAGTTCTATGCAACATGTTAGGGTATGGGATTCGCGGTGCTGCTTTTGCTGCAATTATCTCACAAGTATGCTTAAGCAACTTTGTTTTGCTTGTTCTTCAAACCTCCCGCTTTTTCGGAGACTTTGAACTTGTTAATCAATTCTGACTGTCAATTGTTCTAGTTTGTTGCAGCTTATGTGATGATTGAAGGCCTGAACCAGAAAGGTTACAATGCCTTTGCCATCAAGGTTCCTAAGCTTGATGAACTCATTACTATACTTAGACTTGGTACCCCGGTGTTTGTGACAACAATGTCAAAGGTCTAGTCAAATTCCTGATCTCAATTAGTTTATCATTCTCCCACAATTTCTTGTTTTTCAACTAACTTTGCTGCGTATTTCATATGGTTAATCAGATGGCCTTTTACTCTGTGATGATATATGTTGCAACGTCCATGGGGACATATTCGGTTGCAGCTCACCAGGTTTAGACCCGTTTCTTACATATTGCCTAGCTACTGTGAGTGATAATGATGTGGACTAACAAATCATACAATTTTTATGCAGGTAATGGTCCAAATATTCACCATGTGTGGAGTATGTGGTGAGCCTCTCTCGCAAACCTCTCAATCATTCATGCCTGAGTTGATCTATGGTGCCAACAGAAACTTGGCCAAGGTTAGATGTTGTTGCTATATCTCTCAAGCATGTACTCAAGTTATCCCCTTTATTCGAAAGTAATCTAAAGCTGTTAATCATGTGGATTCAGGCTAGAAGTCTGCTGAAGTCCATAGTTTCACTAGGGATGATGGTTGGATTGGTTCTAGCTGCCATTGGGACAGCGGTTCCTTTGTTGTTCCCAAACATCTTCACACAGGACCAAATGGTCGTTGGAGAGGTTAGTTAATTCTTCCTTCTACCATATAATTATAAAAGAGCTTGTCAATATTGACCAAAATGTTAATTCACCACTTTTGCTACATATGATCTAATATGTACCAGATGCACAAGATAGTGGTACCCTACTTCATTGCATTGGCCATCACGCCTTTCATTCAGACCCTCGAGGGAACCTTGCTGGTATATTTTCTTTGTCCCCTACAACTTTATGATGTTTCTTAGATATTAGAGATGATTCATTTTGCGCTGGCTTGATTCTTTGTGCATGCAGGCAGGGAGGGATCTCAGATTTTTGAGTTTGTCAATGACGAGCTGCTTCTCTTTAGGCGCCGTGGTGCTCGTGGTATATAAAGATTCGAACTTTGAAAAATGGGTACCTTTACATCATCTTTGTTTTGTTTTTGGCCTAATCAATGAGGCTTTTGCTCCTCTTTGCAGCTTGTGAGCAGCAAAGGTTATGGTCTACCAGGCTGCTGGTTTGCCCTTGTGGGATTTCAATGTGTAAGTAATAGAGGTGGCATTTCCAGTTCTCATTCAAACACTACCAATAACCAATTCTGATTTTTAAGCAAATTCCAAATGTTTGCAGGCAAGGCTTTTCCTGGCTTTCCGCCGGCTTCTGTCTCCCAACGGCATGCTCTACTCCGATGATCAAAGCAAATACAAGCTAGAGAACCCGAAAGCTGCTTAAAGTTTGAGTGAGTTATTACTCCTTTTCCATACAACCTTACTGGAAAAGCTAGAGATTTTTTTAGGCATCACATCATCCCAGCAGCCCTTCTTGCCCTTGTAAAAGACATGGAAACTTGAAGGAGTTGCCTAGTCAGCCACCTTTGAGTCTGGGTTTTTGTTGGCAGCTGTATTTGTTATCTGTACTGTAACCGTCCACAATGGCACAATGTAGAATGTGTATATATCATGTAATGCACTGCACGTCTAATAAGATTGATGTTCTCTTTTAGATTGATGTTCTTTGGCATAACATATAGAAGTTGAGAAGTAAAAGAGGGAGAGAAAGATTGTCAGGATTCAGGAAGTTTGAAATTTTGGGAGGGAAGAGAATTTGGTCCCCAATGCATGCTTTTCTGTACTTTTTGCTCCCTTGTTTTCTACTGTGTTGCCAAATGGCCCATGAAGAGACAAAGAAGTTAAGGAAAGTAACTTGCTCGCAAGTCCCAATAGGGGAAGGAGAAGATTGGGGAATTTTCGGCCATAGAAGCACAAATACAAATGCACTGAGAACTGGAGGTTGAAAATGAAGTTGAGGTTGCAGACACAGTACTAGTAACTGATCTCAATTCTCAGCCGTCGGTTCCCATGTGTGGTTCTAAACAATTGAGCTGAAAACTTTGGCTCCAAAATTGCCACTCCCATCACTTTGCCTTGACAACCCTCACCAGTGCCACCAATCGCTCTTCTTCATCCCAAGTTCCCCAACCTTCCTCTCCAAAAAGGAAACAAAGAAACATAAAAGGGTAACCAAATTTCACTTCGTTTTGGCAGAAAACCTAAAAGCAGGCGGAAGAATGCAAATTCAAACCCTGCTCCATTATTCCTCTTCCACTCCATTCCACCCCCTAAACCCAAAAGTTTCAATCTTTACCAAAAGCCCATGTAGGGTTTACTCTCATAGGATCTTGCAATTGCGGCACCCGCCTTTGCTTTCTTCAACTTCACGCAGTTTAAGGTCAAGACATAGGCTTTTGACATGCTGCATTAGCCCAGACCAAGAACTCGTCCATGACGTGGTTGGGGAGGTTGCAAGTGAAGTTGTTTCAGTTGTTCAATCGTCCGAGGAAGAACGCGAAGCGGTGAGTGGGAAAGGGGCTGGATTGGAGAGCCAGAGCTTGTGGGAGCAAATGAAAGAGATTGCGATTTTCACAGGGCCTGCAGCTGGATTATGGCTTTGTACCCCATTGATGAGCCTGATTGACACTGCTGTTATTGGTCAAGGAAGCTCTGTTGAGCTTGCTGCTTTGGGTACTTCAATTTAGCATGAACAATTGCTTTGTTTTTCTTTTTTTCTCTTTTTGTGCAATCATCATGGATATTAAGCTTAGGATTGATCAAACAGGTCCTGGGACAGTTATGTGTGACAACTTGAGTTATCTGTTTATGTTTCTTGCCATTGCTACTTCAAACATGGTTGCAACTTCTCTTGCCAAAGAGGTAAGTTTCGTATTACTCAATTTTGCAATTGAGATTGTTCCTAGCAGGACAACAATGAACTCAAAGAATATTCATGGCTCAGGATAAAGAAGAAGTTCAATACCAGCTGTCAGTGTTGCTCTTTATTGGCCTGACTTGTGGCGTCATGATGTTTCTCTTCACCAAGTTCTTTGGCTCATATGTTTTAGCAGGTAAATTCAAGAAGAGAATCTCAAACGAGCTTTTTTTGGGTTGTTCTTTCATCAGCATTGGAGTTTGATCTCTTATGCTTTTCCCTTGTTGTTTCTCAGCTTTTGCCGGTTCAAACAATTCCCACGTTGTACCTATAGCAAATACTTATGTCCAGGTTGGTCCTTCTCTTCCTTTGATATTTGTTACTTGCTTTCAGTCAGTCCAGCAAAACATAATCCTTTGATGTCTTATTGGTAGGTCCGCGGCTTGGCATGGCCAGCAATTCTTATTGGATGGGTTGCTCAAAGTGCAAGGTAGAGAACTCATACAAAATTTCTCAAGACTTGTAAGAGAAAAACCTCACTTGGATTTTTTTGTCCATGTTAGCCTTGGAATGAAGGATTCTTTAGGGCCATTGAAGGCACTGCTGGCTGCAACCGCTGTAAATGTAATCGGCGATATAGTTCTCTGTTCATTTCTTGGATATGGCATAGCAGGTGCAGCATGGGCAACAATGGCTTCACAAGTAAATTTATAAATTTCGACAGGTTCTGTTTTTGAACTGATCCTTAATACTGTTATGCTTATGCATGCCTTATGTTGATTCATTTTACCCAGATCGTTGCAGCTTATATGATGATGGATTCACTGAAGAAAAAGGGGTATAATCCATATTCTATCAGTGTTCCATCGATTGATGACCTTGTGAAGATATTCGGGCTGGCTGGTCCAGTATTTGTTATGATGATGTCCAAGGTAAACAAGTAGTAACATTCTTTTGAACAGAGAGCTTTGATTTTTACCATCCTTCTGATACAATTGTTGATGTATGGATGTGGTTTCAGGACAATAATCTTCTGAATGTTTATTCTTTTGGTCCTTCATTTCTAGGTGGTTTTCTACTCGCTCCTTGTGTACTTCACTACATCTATGAGCACACTCACCTTGGCAGCTCATCAGGTCTTTTTTTTATTCTACTTGTTTCTTGCTTCACTCACCTCTTCTCGGCTTGTTGGTATTCACCATCTTTAGGATCTCTCACCCTCAGGTTGCGATTCAAGCATTCCTGATGGGCACAGTCTGGGGAGAGCCGCTTTGTCAAACTGCACAATCCTTCATGCCTGAACTGCTCTTTGGAATGAACCAAAATTTTTCAAGGGTAAACTTGAAACAACCTCTAGGCTGTTCAATACACTTGTAATATATGGATTGTCATGTTTTTTTGGGTTACTTGGGGAACAGGCTAGGATGCTGCTGAAATCGCTGATGATCACTGGTACAATTCTTGGAGTATCATTGGGGGTTCTCGGAACTTGTGTTCTTTTGTTCTTCCCCAATATCTTCACCCCTGATTTGGAGGTCATAAGAACGGTCAGTCCCATGTTCACCTACATTCAAGCCATAATTTTGTTTTGAGGAACATTTTGAGTTTCAAAAACTCTAATCCATTTTCTTCCACAATGTTTACTTTTTCCATGCAGATGCACAAAGTTCTGATTCCATATTTTCTTGGGCTTTCTATAACACCTTGCATTCTCAGTCTTGAAGGCACATTGCTGGTATGGCTCCAAAATTTCGCGCAACTGGATCAAATGTTAACAGTATGGCATCGTTTAATGTTCCTTTCAACTTGTGCAGGCGGGAAGGGATCAGAGATATCTTGGCCTGACAATGAGTGGATGCTGTACTGTGGGTACATTAGGACTAATGGTAAAAAAAACCTTATCACCTAATCTCTCATCTTGATTCTATGTGATAACACTATAATTTACTTAACATACCAGTTTGGTTTCTCTCTGTTTCCAACCAGTTCGTTACCAGCAGAGGCTACGGCTTGCTGGGCATCTGGTTCACAATAGTTGGTTTCCAATGGGTATGGCTCTCTAATAATAAAGACATCCGGACAACATGACATTCTTCTCCACGATATGATTTCTGCAACTCATTTTGTGGGTTTCTTTTTCTTCTGTTTTGAACTTTATGCAGGCTCGATTCTTCCTAGCACTCCAACGCCTTCTTTCACCGAGCGGCATGCTTTTCTCTGAGCAGCAGTTGAGTCTCTATGAAGTGAAGGAGTTGAAAGCTGCTTAGCTTTGTTTTTTATATGAAAAATAGTCTTGGACTTAGCCTACAAGTCATTTGTAAATATACTGATGATCAAAAGTTCTTTACCTTGTTGGCTTGTCCAGAAATACAGTTATGGCTCCCATCTCAACTTAGTTGCCTGAATACAAGGGGAAATGATTTCTTACACAATGAAGCAAACACGAGGACGAAGATCTAAGATGTAGATTTTTACATCTCATTCAATTGGCTCAAGTACATGATATATCACGAGGCAAATTCCTGAATACCCTCTCTTATACAGAATCAGTTGTGCAAAAACCAAGATCCACAAGGTAACAGAAAGCTTAATCTAAACATAGACGCAAAAATTTGAAAATAAAGTGGTATTTGAAAATACCTAACCTCATGTCCGTTTGCTAGACCGCCAATACTCTTTTCAACTTCGTGAAGGGCTCTCTTCCCTGACCCGCATCCACTTTCCCTTTCTCCTTCCTCAGCTAGACTACTTTGGGATTGCCTGCCTCAAGACCATTTGAAGATCAATTTTGATGTTGTTATCCAAGTTGTTGGCTCCTCATCTGGCTTTGTTGTTCGCGGCTAGAATGAGTATGTGCTTTTCGCCGTGGGTGTTTAGTATTAGGGTATTTCTTACCCATATCTTGCAGAACTTCTTGCAGCCAGGGCAAGTTTCGAATGGTGGAGGATTCAATTGGAGGCCCCATTCTTTGAGATTGTCGTTGTCTTCTGCTCCTAGTACTTTACCACTTTCTTACAAACCTCCTCAAACGAAAGCCGACTCATGGGTTTAAAGTTTACACAGACCTGTCATACCATGTGCTTAAGACAACGATTAATATAAGGGGTCATGAGAACTTGAACACGTGATCTCAAGGACAAACCAGTTCTGATGTCATGTCAAGAACCAGTTGATCCCAATAACTAGAGTTGTTGGGAGAGGGCGATGCATAGTACTTAACCACTTCCTTACAGTCCGAACATGTGCAAACTTGAGCCCATATATAAGGCATTTTGTTTGAGAGTTTGATCAATAAATGTATATAATCCACGATTGAACCTTTCCCAGCACCTCACATGCTCGTCATTGCCCATTTGCCCTTGGCAATCATGCTCAACCTTAAATGATGGCCTGAATGTTGGTTTGTTCTGTGCTCTTCTAACATAAACCTTCAGATCCTGCTTCCTCTTTTCCTCTGCCTTCATTTTGACAGACCACAATGGAACCAATTAGTTTCTCCAGCTGCTGCACGACGTCCTCTAGCTCTCCTGGACAGGTTCTGTGTATCGTCTACACATACTATAATACACCGAAGTGAAAAACGGGAGCTCCATTTCAAATTTCCTGCAACGAGAGTGAATGTAGGAAGGACATTTTGGTCTTCACAATTTTTTTTTATTCATTAAAAAGATACATACTAGGATTCGAACCATGACCATTGTAAAGAAAGGCAAGGATCATAACCAATCACACTAAGTACATTTGTTGTATCATTTTAAATTAAAAACATATAATAGCAGGGTGGAAAAAACTCTTCCCCTATTTCAAATTCACTGCTCCAGGAGCGTTTATAGGAAGGGTAGTATAGGGAGTACCAATTTTTTCTCTTTCCTCTGTGGAACGGGCCAACTTACCATACACATGCGGATTTAAACGGGTCTAGGAGTGTCCATTTTTTCTTTATACCCTTTTATTTCTCCTTGGTGATAAAATATATATGAAAAGGCAAAAATAATACTCCTTTTATTGTTAAAAAAAAATCTAACAATAAACTAATGCATGGTATCTAATGGGCTAACCGCTAACCATAAAATAAAAGAGTTGAATGAGCCTGACCTACATGGGATTTGGCCATCAAGTAAAACAAATGAACATCATTGGTTTGCCATTCTAAAACAAGCTATTTTCTTTGGCATAATATGTATTATGCTATTATTTTATATCTTAGTGGCTAAAATATAATGTATTTTAAAGTTATTCAATGGTTCAACCTCGACCAACCCAATTATTCCAATTTTTATCATTTCAAATATATATTTTATAATTATTTGACATCATATTGATCAAATTATAGTGTGTTTTATAGGGAATCGTTTGGTATTTGTTAGTAAAAAACTAAACATAAAGATCTATTTGGTTATTTTAAACATTAAAACGATCCTAAACATTTTCATTTCCTTTTGAATTTCTATGGTTTTATTCCCGAATAAGTGATGTGCAAATGGCGAATTGTAGTCGTCTCTTTTCTTTCACTATTTTTTATTTTCAAATAGAAAGTTTAAAAGTAAAGAATAATTAGAATTTGGCATGGGCCGGTCAAACAAGCTGAATTTCAAGTTTTGGCCCGTTTGTTTTATGCATTGCAAATTTATTAGCATGTTGATGGAAATGGCTTGGAAAAAAGACATATAAGTTGTACCTTTGCAGAAATGTCCTCAAATGTTTGAATGCTTTGTGAATCAGGTTCCGTGACTTTTGTGATGGTGTATGTGCTTGACGATTGCTCGATGTTGTAACTACTTAATTTGAGAGTAAATCTTTTGATTTTCCCTATGAGTTGTGATACCAGTTCTGGTGGTTGCAGCATGTTGTCGTTGTTGGCCTGTAAAAGTTGTTTCGCCGTGATGCTAAATACCTTTCTTTCTTTTTTAACAAATTGTGTAGTAGTGCTATGAAACAGACCACCCATGAACGCTACACTTATTATGGCATGTTCTTACTTCCGGTGGTGAGAAATTGTGAATTGAGAATCATATTCGCCTACCGCACTGTGTCTGGCTGGTGGCTGCTTACTGTGCTCTCTAGAGTTATGAAACAGACTACCCATGAACGTTACCCTTAAGAGTCCATAACTTTGCGAAAAACCAAATTTAGGCAATCAAAGGTGGTGGATGTGTGATGATTTTTTATGGCTTAATTGTTTGTGAATTGGATATCTGATCTTTGTATGATTAGAGGGGATGTTTGCTTAATAGAATAATCTATTTTAATTCATGTTTATTTTTAACATGAAGTTTAGTAACTCAAAACCTTCGAGACACATATCACCTACTGCATTGTATCATTTTGCCTGGGTGCTTGCTGTGTTGTCAAACTTCTTTCCTGCTGCTGCTGCATTTACACTAACAGGGGAGTTAAGAACCCATGAATGTTTCCGTTTGACACAAACAAGAGGACTTACTTCTAAATCGTGCATTAAAGATGATTGGAGGAAACATCTTTGTTGTAGTTGATATACTGGAGACCATAACAAAAACAACGTATAACATCAAAACCAACCATCTGAACTATTAGCATTGTTGCTTTACTCTTTTTTCGTGGTTGAGTCTCCTTCAAAAAATTTAGTTTGATTTTAGAAAATTTTGCTTCTGCAGTCCTGTCTTGCCACCAACGCGTTCAGTAGATGGAGATGGCAAAGGCGAAGGCTATTTTTGTGTTGTTGTTGCTGGTTTAGGGATCGGTTTGTGAAGAAGAGGGGAAAGAGAGGGGGAAAGAGAAATGCAGGAGAGGGGGATAACTCTTTTCTCCGACAAAAATGGAGTGAAGAAAGGAATTATGATCAGTAAGGATATGGTTATCTTACATAACGGTCTCTATTCTGTTTGAATTGAGCTTGGGAGGCAGTGATAAGGACGAGCTGCAACCAATTCATAGTGATAAGAGTGCTATGAACTGTGATCATGTCTTATTTCAAGTTAGAAGATAGTTTCAGTATAAGGATTATTTAATTTGACAAGTTGTTTCGTCCATGATTCTTGGTAGTTTCAGTGCCATTCTAGCCATTGTTTAGTCTGTAATTTTTGAGAATTGATGTGCGAGTAATGACTTTCACTTAGCTTCAACTATTATGTGTGTATTTATTGGCATGTGATATAATTCTCTTTTCCTTTTCTTTGAATTCAGTTTCATACTCTAATTGTATCATTTGTACATAGGCAAATCATGCTCGAGATGACAACTCGCTGATATGGCTGGTGCAAGGAATGAAGCCATCATTAGAATTCAGACAGACAACAGGGAGGGATGCCCAGGACTAATTCAATGATGATTGATGATGGTATAATAAAAACTGCAGTCTGCATCAGCACCAATTTCTAGGCCTAAGTAAAGTTATTCAACCCATAACTCTGCTTAGCGCTAAAAATTGCCCTCACCCAACCTTGATCCTGTTTGACCCACTTCTGAAGAGTCAAGATATATGACTAATCCTCTCCGTTCATATTTTCTTATTAACTCTTTCTGACCCTTTAGGTTGGGGCAGGTCGGGAAGAATCGGATTAGTGGGTCGGTCCTAATCAAGTGGAATCCTAATCCCTTCACTCTCACTTGCTTTCTCTCCCATTCCACAAGTGGGTAACATACAGTAATCCGGCCAACGGGCCGGGTAATAAGCTAGTTTTAGATTCTTAGAGACAGATCGTAAATCTGCCTTCCCATTTCCAGTGTTCTTCATTTCCATTTTCTTCTTCTTCTTCGAACCCTAGTTTTTTGCCCCTTCTTGTGATTTCAATTGGTATCAGAGCAGGTCCTTGACGAAGGTAGCTCCTGCCAAGGCAAAGATCAAATGGTCTTCTTTCTCCGGCCAAGCGGCATTAAATCATCCTCCAATTTTTACCGGTTCAAATTATACCGCGCGGAAGAAAAGGATGAAACAATTCATGTGGGGTATTGATGAAGACTTGTGGTTGATTGTACAGGATGGGCCGATCGATGCAAAAGTGGAAGAGCAACGTATGTGGTATGCTGCACAGAAGAAAAGCGCACAACTGAATCAACGAGCAATGCACGTGCTTCAATCAGCCATGAATCCAAATGAAGCAGATCAAGTTCTGTGAGACAGCCAGAGAAATCTAGATAGCGCTGGAAAGTACATATGAAGGTACGTCAAATTATAGAGAGTCTCGTATTGATTTATTAGTTCATGAATATGAGGCTTTTGGTATGCTAAATAATGAGAGTATTCATGAGATGTACTCGAGATTCACAGTGCTGATCAATAAGTTGAAAGGGTTAGGAAGATCTTTCCAAACTAAAGACCTTAATAGAAAGATTCTTAGGTCGCTACCTAAGGAATGGCTACCCAAGCGTACTGCTATCGAGGAAGCAAAAAATCTAGCAACCCTACCTATAAACGAATTAATTGGGTCCTTACTGAGTCACGAAACTGTGATTAAACAAGTGAATCAGGATGATGATAAGAGAAAGAAAATTTTGGCTTTTAAATCCAAGGTTATTACTCATGAGTCTGAAAGTGATTCAGAGTCAGACTTTAACAGAGAATTTTCTCTTGTTAGCAAGAGATTTCATCGCATGCTGAAGTATAAAAATGATAAAAAAAACTGAAAGCTGATGAATCGCGAAAACAAGTGCAGGATTATACTAATAAGTAATAACTATTCTCAAGCTAGGCTGCCTTAT